AAATAAGAAGATATAACAAAATTGAAAGGGTGAAGGTTTTTTTTTTTTAAATGGATAGGAAATTCTATTAAGGTATCATTACGTCATTATTCAATATATTTTTAATATAAATTTGATTTGTTGATGCATTTGTTTAGTACTCCCTCTGTCCCTAATTACCTGTTTACTTTTCCTTTTATAGTTGTCTCTAATTACTTGTCCATTTTGACAAATCAAGAAAGAATATTTTTTTACCTATTATACCCTCAATTAAATGACTAATTACTTTGAAAATTGCAGAACTTTTCATCTACTTCATAATTAATAGGGGTAAAATGATAAACTCACTATGTCATTAATTGATTTCTTAATAAATGTGTAAATTTAAAAGTGGACAAGTAATTAGGGACAGAGGGAGTATTACAGTCTTATTTGACATTATGAGATATTTCTTAGACATTTAAGGAGAATGGTAGACCGAAATATATATTATATATTAAAGGATGAACTTCATGCAATGGAAGAATTTGTTATTAGCAAATATATTTTAACTTATTTGATAAAAAATATATTCTTCCTCATTTAATAGATGTAAAATTTGTGAAGCTTTATTTTTTTTCACAATCTTCATATTATTAAGACAAATAATAATATTACGATTAAACAACAAAGTAAATATAAAATTAATCAAAAATATTTAATTTAAATGATCGCGCGAAGTGCGGGCAAGTTCTCTAATTTAAAACAAAAAAGTAAAATTTAAATGGGTCTACTATAGAATTCCTAGAAATCCAACTTGAAAATTATGTTAAAAATGAAAAATAAAAAGTGAAATAAATTTAATTGAGAGTTATCCTTCGTCTGTCCCATTTTATGTGAGACTTTTTATTTTTCGAGAATCAAATAGTTTAAGTTTAACCATAAATTTGCGTATGATATCTTCATTTTTTAAATTTTTTTTGGAGAAATTAGATAAATAGTAATCTTAGCTTCTAAGAAATGTGACATCATCATTTACATATCCAACTTTTATATATATAAAAGAGTTAAAAAAGAAAAAATAAGTGATTTAAGAAAATTATATAAATAACATTACTGATGAGATGAAGATTAAGAAAAAACGTCAAATAAATTAGTAGTATTGAGATGATAAAAGTTAAAAAAATCATTTTTTCTATTATTTAAATTTTTAACATAAAATTTCCAATGTTTTAAAATTAAAAATAAATGTTAAGAATTAAAATAAAAATGGAGGCAATAATTATTTTATTAAAGAAAAATATGTGTAGAAAAAGTAGAAGTAGATGAAGTTACTTTAGTTCATCTTTTTGGTGGGCCTCAATGTACAATTTCTATAGCTTTTAGTCCAACTCTTTAGTGCAATGTTGGTCCTCCAAACTCCCATTTCTAAATAAGAGTAAAATAAAATATAAAAGAGTTAAAAAGAAAAAATAAGCGATTTAAGAAAATTATATAAATAACATTAATGATGAGATGAAGATTAAGAAAAAACGTCAAATAAATTAGTAGTATTGATGATGATAAAAGTTAAAAAAATCATTTTTTCTATTATTTAAATTTTTAACATAAAATTTCCAATCTTTTAAAATAAAAAATAAATGTTAAAAATAAAAATCAAAATCGAGGCAATAATTATTTTAAAGAAAAATATAACCAAAATTGTCAGAAAATTAATTCTTCATGTGGGTTGTTGTATATGTAGAAAGGCACGTGTACAATTAATGAGGCACAATAAATTTTATAGTACAATTTGAAATGCTTTGTGTACAACATGGTAGTGCCGTGTTCGTGCTTTAAAGTGTCAACTCTAATAAGGAGCCAAATGAGTAATAATAATAATTCTAATAAGGAGTAATGAGTAATAATAATAATTGCAATGTTAGTCCTTGGTGTTAGTCCTTCTATTAATGTACAATTCTTTTTGCACGTTGTACAACTAATTAATGCAGTCAAAAGGTTAATGTACAAAATTGTATGCATGTTGTACAAGAGTATTAATGCAGTGTTGGTCCTTCTAAGTCTCACTTCTAAATAAGAGTAATATAAAAGAAATAGAGATGATTATATTTTGGTGCACTGCATAAAATTATTTTTATATAATTTAGCTAAAGTTTTTAATAATTATCTAAATTGGTCCAATTTTATGACAACTTTAAGTTGTACGGATTAGTACTATTAGTTTTATTAGAGGTGGTTTGGATTGGCTTAAAAGTTGGTCAAATCTACTTTTAAGTCAGTTTTTTACTTTTGGAAGTGTTTGGCAAATATAAAAAGTAATATAAAATAAGTAAAAAATGACTTAGAATAAGTTGGGAAGTGTTTGGCAAGGTAAAAAATGACTTAAAATAAGTTTAAAATGACTTAAAATAATTCAAAAACCAAAAGTAGGTCTCCCCCTACTTTTTATTTTTTGACTTAAAAGTCTTTGATTTAAAAACTACTTTTTTAAGTCAATTCAAACGGGCTCTTACTCTCATGTTCTATTTTATGTACCATTATTTGACTTCACACGGTGTTTAAGAAAACAAAGACTTTCGAAACATCTGTTATAAATAATCCTCAGATATTTATGAAGAAATTGTTGCCGGAAAATGATGATGGGTTATTGTGGGGAAAAAATCATCAGTTAATTGGTAAAGTTGAAATGGAGATGAAGAGTTAATATTTGGTGAAAATGGTGGGTCAGCTTGAATGAAGACTTTGATCTTTGATAAAAAAAAAATGTATGTATATATATATATATATATATATATTAATGTATTTGTGCTAATTTATTTTTAAAGTATTTGTTAAATGGGTTATTTTTTTATATAATATTTATTAATATGAAGAAATTTATATATAGAAGGGTAAAAATGTCAAATTTAAATTAATTTATATTTTATTTTAAATAAATTTAAAGAATGATTACAAGAAAATTAAAATAAGGGAGGTAGACATAATATTGTAAACCACAGGGAAGGTGAATGTTATAGAGCGAAACCTGGACGGAGGTCTCTGAAATTATTCATTTAAAAAAAAAATTGGTAGTTCTATGACAAGTTTTTATATAATTTTTTTTGTATATATATATATATATATATATATATATATATATATATATATATATATGAAAGTTTTGTGTATTATTGTATAATAAATGTATAATATCATATACCGAATTGTATTTTGGGCTAAAGATTTATAATAGAGGAAATTTATAAAGTTAACACTAGAGACACAATCAAACTCCTTAGCTAATGTTTATCTAATTACGATTCTTAGCTACATGCAAAAAGGAACAGAGAGACGAGCGAGATTGGTAGAGAGGAGAGAGGCGAACGAGATATAGGAGAAGGAGGAGAGAGGCAAGAGAAATACAGTTGATTTGTATATATGATCGATAATTGTATCACAAATATAATTAATTTTGTAAAAAATAAAACTAGCTACTAGAAAGAATAGAGAGGCGAACGAGATCGGGAGAGGGAGGAGAGAGGTGAGTGAGATCTGGGAAAAAGAGGTGACAAAAATACAATTGATATGTATATCTGAAAGATAATTGTATATTTGATCAATAATTGTATCACGAATACAATTGATTTATATCAATGAATACAATTGAGTCAAAGACTATTGTATTCAATTCGTTGATGCAAATCAATTGTATCAAGTATATATATATATATATATATATATATATATATATACATATTAACGAATATAATTTGTATCTAAATGCAATTGTATCAATGATACAATTGTATCAAATATAATTGTACCATTATTGTAATTTGTAACAAATTGTATTTGTTTTCATGTATTGCCTTGTGTATTGTATTTATGTGTTACCATGTGTGATTGTGTTATCATTTGTATTTGTATCATCGATGGTTATCATCCGTATTGTATCATTGACTATTACTATTTGTATTTGTATCATAAACTATTATCATTTGTATTGCAAAGAGAGCGGGGAGTAAGAAGCAAGAGAGAGAAGAAAGGTACGGAGAGAAGAAAAAATATTGATATAAGACCCTTACTATAGCTTCAAATAGTAATTCATTTATGAGATAAGTTTTAAAAACACATCTAAATTATACCTCTTTTTTGAGTTTCATACCTAAACTATTGAGAGTGTGAGTTTCATACCTAAACTATTACTTATTAGTTTGAGAAACACATCTCTCTCTTTTATATCACTCTCATCATGGTGTGTGTAATACACTTTTTTTTATTTTAAAAAATTGTCACATCACACTCAGTGGCAGAGCTAGAATTTTCGCCAAGGGTGTTCATACTTTAGGACAAGTAAAAAAATAAACCTTGCTAGTCAGATTATAAATATTGGCTTCAAAATAGTCATACCTCAATTATTAATTTCTACATAGTGCTCCAAGTTGTTCATACTCTTTACCTGTTCAATATCAAATTAACCAACTATCCAAAATGAAAATTCTTAAAACGGAAACTTACAAAATATCAATGGATAAACTAAGGAAGATGAAGTAGGACAAATATATTGACGGATAGTTTCATATACACCAAAATATGTAAAGTGGTAACTACAATTGCACTCGACGACACTTCATATCTCTTGAAATGTTTTCATAATACACTCATTAGAAACATCTTTAAATACTTTTTTCTCTACATAAGGCACTATGCAACCATCTAAGAATTCATTATCCATTCGATTTCACAAGTCATTCTTGAAATCTTCATTGCCGAAAAAGCTCTTTCAACTGTAGCAGTGGCAACAGGTAGAAGCAAAGCAAACTTCACTAAAAGAAATACGAGAGAATATGTTAAATGCTTCTTTGTCTCAGCCAACTTTCTTGAAAGTTCTCCAAGTCCACCCAAATTGGAGAACTTTTCATCAATATCACGAACATCAATAATGTAATTAACAAGTTGATTCTCAAGAGCACTTATGTTGGACCTATCAAAATCATCAGGATATAATTCAGTCATTCTCATTATCTTCTTTATGTCAAAACTAGAAAATGAATCAATTGGATTCAAGCAAGATACTCCATTAAGTAATCACTTGTCACCTCATTGAAACGATCATTAAGTTCTTGTAGTTGCCAATCAATGATTTTATAAAACACATCCACACGATAATGATGCAAAGTAGTACAAATAACTACTTTACGTCGTGATCTCCCAAAATTAGCATATGGATCATCAAAATTGGGTAATGAAATGCCATGCTTGATACAAAATGTGTCTACCTTTTCTTTAAGTGAATCCCATCCAATATTTTTTTTTAAGAGAGGATCCCATTCATTATTTCTTAAAGCTTGCAACCTTCTCTTTGCTACCTTTACAAGAATCATGGCATTTGCAATGTCTTGCTCTTTTTTCTGTAATGAAACATTAAGATCATTTGTGATTCCTAAAACATCTGTCATCAAATGCAACAAGAAAATAGTCTCAAATGTTTGATAACTTCTGAGAAATTCCGATGCGCTTGCTTTTTCTTCCAAAGTACTTGCATTTTCAACAAGAGTATCAAGTACATCAACAATAGAGTCAAAGCTTCTAATAAAGTTTCCAAATGACTTGTAGTGAGATCCCCAATGAGTATCACAGGCTTTAACAAGACCAAGTTCTTGATTCAACCCTCTACCCGTTTCTAGTTCATCCAATGCCATTTGAAGATGCTTTTTTTGAGATTCTCAAAAATTATCCACACGTTTAAAAGAAGCTCCCAACACATTCAAAATATTTGCAATTAATAATACAAGTTCACCTACTTGAACACACTTTTTAGAAACCGCAACAAGAGTCAATTGAGGTTGATGAACAAAACAATGAACAGAATGAGACGATTTACTTTCTTGTCTAATCAACGTTTTAAGACCACCTAGATCACCTTGCATATTGCTTGCCCCATCGTAACATTGCCCATGTACATTAGATAAAGTCAAAGAATGGTGAGCAAGTACATCTACAATTGCTTTCTTTAGAGATAAAGCACTAGTATCTTTAATATGAACAAGTCCAATAAATGTCTCCATCACAAACTCCAGTTTGTCAACATATCTTAGACAAATAGTCAATTGCTCTTTGCGTGACACGTCTCTAGATTCATCAACCAATAAAGCAAAGTAATCACTATTTATATCCTCTATTATAGCCTTAATTGTTTCAATCTTACACGCAGACACAATATCTTTTTGGATGTCATGAGAAGTCATTTTATTATTTTTTGGAGCTTTTTCTAACACAAAAAGTTTAATTGCATCACATCTACCAGCTAACCAAGAAATAACTTCAAGAACATTACCCTTGTTCAATGACGATTCACTCTCGTCATGACCACGAAATGCAAAACCTTGATTCAAGAGAAGTCTTACCACATCGATTGAAGCGTTTAACCAAACCCGATATTCATGCTTACTTTTATCATCCAACTTGTAAAATGCGGCTTGAATGGATTGTTGTTCTCGCATGAGATCTTCACACTTTCTTTTGGATTGATTATGAACGCTATTCGGTGGACCAATATGTGTAGCAAAGCTATCCTTTCTATGTCAATTTGTAAATCCCTTAGTCGAAAATACATTACCATCACCTTGATTAATGTTTTCTCCTTGAAACAAATAACAAGGTAAACAATAAGCAGCATCCGCACTAATACTGTATTCCAACCAATCACGATATTTATCAAATCACGTATAGACAAAATGATGCGGTGTTCCAAAAAAATCAGTTTGAGGAAACTGATGATTTTGAGGTTGACAAGGACCTTTAATGATGTATGTCCTCCTTATCTCATCACGAAGATTTGGATGATAATTCAAAATTAGAGTTCTTTCAACCAGATCAACCTTTAAATCATTTACATCAAATTCTTGTCTTTGGGAAAAGTGAGATGATATTTCTATTTGGTTGACATTTTCATCTCGACGTAGTTGATTTTGATTTTGAGGCGCCAAACTTGTTTTGGGTACTCTATAAAAATATTTTTCCAAACTCATTGAACTCCAAACTGAAATAGTAGTCAAGTTCAAGTATACCAAACTTATTAAAAATCATCCACAATACACTAAATAGTTGATCGATACTCAAATAAATAAAGTAGCTTTTAACATAAAAATTAAGATATTCAAGTCTTTCAACACATGATTAGAAAAGACTAAACTAAAGGAAAAAACAAAATTAAGAAATACCTTTTCACACTTCAATGGCGGTTGAGGAAGAAATGTACAATGATTAAAGATTTCAATTTCTTAAAACTTGCAAATATGTATGAAAGTTGAGAAGAGAGAAAGGTAAAGAGTAATAAAGGGTTTTTGGGAGAAGAAGAAGTCAAAAAAACTAAAACGAAAAGACAACTATGAATCTATTCTTTTTTTAAATTAAGAAAAGTCAAAAGTAGACCTTTTGTTTCTCTTAACTTAAAAAAGGTAACTTTTGTACTTTTTCTTAAGAGAAAAACGGAACAAATATTAAATAAACGAAATGTTCACGCCTGGGTTCTGAGTTTTGCCTTTTCTAAGAGAACAAACGGAATAATGAAAAAAATTAAAGAAAACGCCAACACATGGGCTCGAACCTAAAACGCTGAGGCATCTTTGCACAACCTTAACCGCTAGGCTGTCAACCTTTATTGTGTCAAGGATGTTCAACAATTAGTATATATCCAAAAAAAACTCGATATTTAGTATATATACCCGTAAAAAATTTCCGACGAAGGTTGTTCATCTGACCACCCTCGCCATATCATAGCTTCGCCTCTGATCACACTTCACATGGACAAAATATTTCACTTTGACAAAAAATTAAATAAATTATTAGTATTAGTTAAAATTAAAGATTAAAATTATTATCCCAAAAAAATAATATTTTTTTTAGGGATAAAGGTCTGAAAAATACCTCAAATTTGGTCGGCTTTGCTGTTGCGATACTAAACTTTCATGAGGACTTATTACCTCCCTAGACTATTTAATACCGTATTTTTTACCCCCTAAACTATTTAATAGTGTATTTGAAAGGTATATAAGTTTGCCCACGTGGACACATTACTATTTATAATTTTGCATTATTTTTTATGTCCACGTGGGCAAATATATATGTTTAAAATACGGTATTAAATAGTCTAGGGAGGTAATAGGTCCTTATGAAAGTTTAGTATCGCAACAGCAAATTCGACCAAAGTTGGGATATTTTTCAGACTCTTATCCCTTTATTATATAAAATAAAAAAGTAAAATATTTTTCTTACCCCACTCCATCACTTCCTCTCACCCCCCGCACTCATCTTTTTTGTTTAAATTTCTTTTATAAAAGTATTGTTTTTACTTCACCCCCCCCCCCCCCCCACCTTCCAATACTAATTTAGATATTATTTTATTTTTAAAAAAATAATTCTATCCACTAGTCACATAACCCTCCGCTTCCAAAAAAATTTCTCATTTTGTGTTTTATATATATAAGATCAAGAAGAAAAAGAGAATCTAGAAATAACAGAAGACAAATCATTAGAATGAATGAACTAGACGAACTAGTTTATGCAATGGAAGATCTTTTTTTTTTGGGGGGGGGGGGGGGAGGTAAAAATAGTTTATAAAATATATATTTTTTAAAAGGATGGGGGTTGTGGGGGGGAGGGGGAGGGGGTACGGGGAGGAGGTGGGTAAGAAAAATAATTTAATTTTTTAATAGTAATACTTTAATTTTTAATTAATATTAATAGTTTATTATTTAATTTTTATTAAGGTGGAATATTTTATTCATGTGGAATGTCATGTGTCAAAGTTTTTTCAAATAAAAGAGAGAGTGCATTGCACACACCACAGAGGTGTGTTTCTCAAACTAAAAGGTGATAGTTTAGGTATGAAACTCACACTCTCAATAGTTTATGTATGAAAGTAAAATAAAAATGGGATAGTTTATGTGTGTTTTTTACACTTATCTCTTCATTGATACTAATTGTGTGTAATAAATATATACATTTCACATATTTGCCTTTTTAATAAAAATTTCTTTATAATATAAGTTTTGGGCTATATTTCTACAAGGTAAGTTAGCTTATTGTACAAGTAGAGAACTATCAAAAGTGAAGTCTTGAAGTCAAACCTTTAAAAAGTTAGAAATTCAAAAAATATAAACTTCAATTTCAAATCTAGTGACATGAATATAAAGGTTCTAGAATAACTTGAACATGATTCAAAATACTACAAATTGCCTGAAAGATAACATGAATAAAGTAAAGATAGATAAGTCTGAATATTGTGAAACAACCACGAAATTCTTCATATATACATGACAATCATTACACTTATTATAAAGATATCAAATGTATGAAAATATAAAGTTAAACATAGACTCAACTTTTTAAAGGATAAGGTATCGGATAACTTATCCTTTTAGTTTGAAATTACATTAACCCCTGAAAAGGTAAAATAAATCGGATACATAATATGTAGCTCGGATACATTATAAAATAATTTAGAATTAGGAGAGAAATAAGGGATTTTAAAGATTTTTAGCAAATAGAAGGGAATATTAGAAATAAGGGAAACATAAGACGTGTATTTCAGTAATTTTTCCTAATTTATATAGAAGGAAATAATTGACACATAAATCATGACAAATATAAATATTTTTGCCACATAACTATTCCATTGAGAAAAAGATTGTCCAACCAAATGGAGCTAAACATATTAAATAGGTCCTATCATTTAATTAAGGGTCATATAATAAAATTACTTTTGCTTCTTCTTCTTTTTAGCATATATATGAATGAATATCTTAAGGGATATACAAATAATAACAATTATATAATTAATCATGAATATTAGCACTAAGCTAAACAATTGATTTTTTACTTTATCCAATACAATGAATCGGACACCTGAAATGAACTTGGGGCCCCGACTACAGCTATAGTATTAGCTTAAAATTCATTATAGTAATCACATAAATTTCAATCTTTAATCTGTTTTCTGTAATGATTCAATACATAAATATTTTGTTAATTCAATTGTACCGTATTTTGATCAATAAAAGACATGTACACGTGAATCACGTGTATTTTTGCTCAGATACACTAAAATAGGAAAAGAGGCGAGCGAGATTTTGTTATGTATCCCAACTACATGCGAATCATAGTAGATACATACAGATGTACGTATCTAGTGTGATTTGCATGTATCTGGTATACCAAATACATACGAATGAGACGGGAGAGAGAAAACGAGATTTGGTATGTATCCTAAATACATGTGAATTCACGTGATGTATCTAGAACAAATTTGACCTCATGTATCCTGAGAGATGTGTGTCTAGATATATTTTAACGTAAGTGAACACACCAAAATCTAGTTATGTAATAAAACTAAAGTGTATCTAATAAATTAGATTCTAAAATAGTAAAATTTAGTAAGTTTTTGATAAATACAACCCTCTCGTTCACTTGTATATCCTATTTTTAATCATTACTACCATATAAGTCATACTCTCATTAAAAATATCCTCTTCTCCGTACACTATTCACGAACCGCCCCACCTATATAAAGTTTTGTTAAAGAAGAAGGAACTAGGAAGTGTGGCGTTTCAATAATATTATAACATTTGAATGAAATTTCTTTCTAGACATGATCACAACACTTATATCCATTTTTTTTCTCTATTGCAATGATTCATACCCAATGAGTGCTAAATTTGGAGCATTTCCAATAATTAGCTAGGCAATCATATTTTCCTTATTATTCTCTCTACATTTGTTGCCTTATTAATCCCTCTACATTTGTAATTTGTTGTTGGGCTTTACCCTTTTGGCAATTACAACTATTAATATATATTTTAGGAAAAACTACCTACCATATATATTATATTCTTGTTGTTTGTACCTTCAAAATATTATATATTTTATCATACTAATTAAGAGTTTTCTACATATCTTACAAGTTAGATACATATATTTTTGCTACCATATACATAAAAATAGGGAGAGAGGCGAGCAAAAGATTATGGAGGGAGACGAGCGGGATTCATATGTATCCCAAAGATATGCAAATCACTCACACTAAATACATGTATCTATATGTATCTGGAGTGATTCACATATATTTGGAATATCAGATACATGAGAGTGGTGAGCGAGATGAGAGAGAGGCGAGCGAGATTTGTTATGTATCCCAGATACATGCAAATCCACTTAGATACAATGTATCTAGAACAAATTACACCTAAATTTGACCGCATATATCCGAGATACATGTATCTGGCTATATCTTGAGGAACCAAAATCTGGTAAGATACATAATATTACAAATTATAGAATATATCTAAGTAATTAGCTCATGAACTAATGAAATTTATATAGGTAAATTCCCCATTTTACGCTAATAATATCATCATCTACTACTCTTTGTGTTTCTAATAAACACAAATCATTGCACACGTGATTAAGAAAAGAAAACAAATCAAACAGATAATAAGGAGGA